ATAAGAAAGTGCTCAGAATGACATATATATATATAGTACCTGAGCAGTATACCCAAATTATTTTATATGTTTATTCCTCTTTGCTTGGCTTCTTTTGTAACTGCCACATTTTAACTAAAATTTAATCAATCAGCATTGAAGCTATGTGAAAGTATTTTCTGAGTCCTGAAATTAACCTGCTTCTCTCTCTCTCTCTCTCTGTTGAAGTCAGCCTCTATACTCTGATTTTAGTTTGCAAAAGGCTTGTATATTAATGCAAAATAAGTTAAATGGCAATTAACTCCTTTCCACTGATTTTTGACATGGCTCCCTGACCACAAGTAAATGTGTTCAACAGAGGAAAAATACTTAACATACATAGTTCGAACTATTTTAACATTTATGTATAATAAGCAAAGATGTTATGACTTCTGCATTATATTTTCTGGCTTCAGTTAAATAATTAATGCCATCATCCCCCCCATATTAATGTGGATTCTTATGACAAATATGAACATCAAAGTTTGGCATCATGTAGAAGTGAAAGGTTCACACTGTCCAAATGATTTTTAATGTTTTTTTCTGAGTATCAAATACAGCTATCAAATAATGGGCTAAACTGAAATGATAACTCAGTTCTTAATAAGTGGAATATGGGACCAATAGAATATTTGACAGATTAAACTAGAAGCATGCAGTCATTTTACTAGATTGTGGATTTAGTCTGTGCTATGTTACAGGTTCAATGCCTCCCCCCCCCACACCTTTTAAAAAAAATTACACTAAAAAGTAAAAAGCCCCCTAAAGAATTTCAACTCAATCATTATATCCTTTTGTACTTCTGTTATTTTTTCATTCATATTGCTGATAGTTAAAATGGATTTTCCTGTACATTCTAAAGTTGGTGGAGCTATGTGCATGAGCGTGCACACACGCGCACACACACACACACACACACACATATTTCGCAGTCATTTAAGTCCTTAAATGCAGAATCAATTCATTGATAGTCAGTGATGTAATGGGTAAGGCATTGACTACAAATCAGGAGACTTTGAGTTCTAGTCCTGCCTTAGACAAAGCCAGCTGGCTGATCTTACACCAGTCTCTCAGCCTTTGGAAGGAGACAGTGGAAAACCACTTTAGAAAAAACTTCCCAAGAAAACTGCATGGACTTGTTCAGACAATCAGTGGGAGTCAAAAACTGGTTCAAAGGTACAAACAAACAAACACAATTTCTTGTGAATTGGTGTGAGAATAATATACAGGTGGTCCTCAACTTAAAACAGTTCATTTAGTGACTGCTTAAATTTACAACAGCACTGAAAAATGTGACTTATCAATTTTCACACAACCATTGCAGCATCCCCATGGTTACGTGATCAAAATTCAGATATTCGGCAATTGGCTCATATTTATGACAGTTGCAATGTCCTGGGGTCATGTGATCCCCTTTTGCGACTGACAAGCAAAGTCAATGGGAAGCTAGATTCACTTAACAACTGTGTTCATAACAACTACAGTGATTCACTTAACAACTGGCAAGAAAGGTAGTAAAATGGGCTTAACAAATGTTTCAGTTAACAGAAATTTTGGACTCAATTGTAGTCATAAGTTGACAACTACCTGTAGTAACCATATTGTGTACGTATTAACAGTTTGGTTGCCATACATTTCACTCACTAAAACTTGTGCAAATCTTTTTTGACACTCAGGAAAAAGTAGCAACAAACATAATTATGCAAACACATTTCTAATTAATTGCTTCATTGTGGGTAGTTGAAGCAAGTCTTTCCAGATGAAGTATTTTCAGTGAGAGTAGAATCCCTTCCGCAACAGGAATGAATTGCAGTCCAAGGGTCTTTCTAATGATCTACGGTACCGTCCTATTTAGAAGTAACTTAAGGTTGTTTAATCATCGAGCCCAAAAGAACTTTTAAAAAGTAGCCATTTACATATACAACGGGACGGGATATTTTGTGACCTAACTTGAGACTGATACTGTCTCAGTATGGCCATTTAAAAAGAACAAACCTTAATATTACAAAATTGATTATAATTCTTGTAAACCGCCCACAATAGTGAACAAGTCAAAGGCTATAGAAAATACAAATAATGAACAATTGTAAAACCAAATGCCTTGCCTTTGCTTTCACTCATGTAAAATCAAAGTCATATTTCTACTGTTTTGTTAGATAACAAGCCCCTTAGCATAGTTGAAACATCTGTTTTTTATAAACACATTTATAAAACCTCATTCCAAAACCCAGAGGTTACATTTGTATGTTGACACAATAGTACAATTATGCTGTGTGAGACAGCATAAGTCAAGATGGTCAGTTTGTGGCAGCTGCTGCATATCTCTCCTACAAATTGATGATGCAGATTTGCTCACTTCATTGGATTGGGTTAATGCTTATGAAAATAGAGGTAGGGCCATAATTTCTCCAATCAGATTGTGAACTTTCTCCAAATTGAAGGGAGAGGGTTTTTTAAAAAAAGTATTCTTATAATTTTCTCTTTTGTATATAACTCTAACTGTAAAACTAAATATTAAATCTTTTAAATAGTAAATCTAACCTTTAAAAAAATCATTAATTACCATCAGCTCTGGACCTAATTTAATTAGAATGTAGGGGCAAAGATTGAAGAATCAAAAGATAGCCCTTATCATTTGAAACACCTTGTTGTAAGTACTGCGATTAACTAGTTAGAATCCAGAATAGCTAGGCAAACAATAGTCAATTTGATCTATTAATGTTATCTTTTCTAACATCAGAACTCCCAGAATCAACTGTTGTTGATCTACAAATTTTACATAGCTATTTACCAAATGTTTTGATTAATACCAGTATATGAATCCTAGTAGAGATAGATTTGTGGGGGGGAGGAAGCCTGTTACTTCAATAGTATGTTTTCTTCACTGCCCTCACAACTGGTGAAATTCTCCAAATGGATGATTTACACATGGACTTAAATCTAGATTAAAATGATTATTTGTTTTTTTTATTTCAACATTTGTATAATTACCCATCTTAAACCAACTCGGAGTGGCTGGTAGTCCTCAACTTAAAACAGATCATTTAGTAACCATTCAAAATTACAATGGCACTGAAAAAAGTGACATATTTTCTATAGTTACGACGATTATAGCATTGCTATGATATTATCAAAATTCAGGTACTTGGCAACTGACTTATATTTATGATGGTTGCAGTGTCCCAGGGTTGTGTGATCACCTTTTGCGACCTGACAAGCATCGTCAATGGGGAAGTCAGATTGCCTGTTCCATTCCGTAAAAGGAAGCAATATACAGTTGCATTTTTGAAAAGTGTACAAGATGGATAAGAAAATCAATTTCTGTAAAGAAGTACAAGACAAAAATAAAAAAAACCTCTTAGACAAATTCTTCACATAGAGCAGATTTGTTGACTTCAACTCCCAGAATTCCTTTTCCAGTCATGTTAGCTCTGGAATTCTGGAAGTTGAAGTCCACAAGTCTTAAACTTGCCAAGTTTGAAGACCCCTGACATAGAGGAAGCAATAAAAACTGACATATTACAGAATGGACTTGGGCATTTGGTAGTATTTTTGGAATTAGTTTGGCATATGGTATAATGAGAGGGCTCCTGTGCCAAAAATTGCTCGTGTGCCAGCACCCAGAAGGCAATATGTGCGGCCTCCCCCCCACGACCCTGCGTATGGCGCATACAATTTCCCCACCACCCCCTTATCTGCACTGTGAGCCTCTCAGTTGATTTTCGGCCACTTTGAAGTCTTTTTCGGCTTTCCAGAGGCTCGAGGGAAGCCTCTGCAGCCTTTGGAGGCCGAAAAATTGGCCCGTTCGTCATTTCCGATATTTCTGGAAATACAAGAAGTGACGAAACACCTGTTTTTCGGCCTGCAAAGGCTTCCCTCGAGCCTCTAGGAGGCTTCAAATGGGCTGAAAATCAGCTGGGAGGTGTGCACATGTACAGTGCAGGTAAGTTTGGCTGGGGCTCGTGTCCCGCATAAATGGCTCTGCGTACCACCTATGGCACGCGTGCCATAGGTTCACCATCACTGTGATAGGGTCTTAATCCTTAAATAAAAACTACCTACAAATAGGTATTCTTTGACTTACAAAGGCGGCTGGGACTGCAGGGATTGCTGCAGGGATTGTTAAGTGAGGCAATGTTCTTGGGCTTCCTACAACCAAAGTCAGTGGAGAAGCTGGTGGAAAATTAAGAGTCCCAGGTCTGCAGGCAAATAAATGGCTACTGCTGGGTGGGAGAGGGAGTGAAGTTGAGCAGGAGACTATGCAAGAGGTGCAGTGCAAAGGAGTGCACAAGAGAAGCTGAGAGAGTACATGCGAGTTGTGGGTCGGGTGTGCAAGTAAGTTGGGGAAGGTGTACAAGAGACATCCCACAGGTTGGAAAGTGCAGGTTGGGATAAATGTGCAGTGGCTGGCACACGCACAGAGGGACTGATGTGCGGGTGGGGCGGCAGACCTGCAACCTTCCCTGCTGGTTTCCATTTCCATACTGCCTTTCTGAGGAAGCCAACAATGGAAAGTTGCAAATGGAGATCAGGCAATGGGATATTGGGATGGCCAGAATTTTTAGGACCGGTGATTAATCATCATTTGTTCAAGACTATTGGAACAGTCACTGAACAAATGGTCATAGGTCAGGAATTATGTTACCTGTTGATAGTAATTTACAAGCTCAATCATAAAGTGTTTAATGGCAATAAGAAAACCATATGAATGTATACTAAAGTTTGCACTAAACAAATGTCTAAAATCTGTTTGGTGCTTAATATTTTGAACTTCTAAATATTTTTCTGTTTGAGTACTGTTAGATTTTTTAGAAGTGTTGGCAACCTAACAGTATTAAGAATTAGGTAATTCAAGCATTATTTGTGTTCTCTGAAAGAATGAATTATTTCAATGTTTCCAAAAATACTTAAAATTAAAAACGGGTTTTATTTTCCAATACAGTGTACAATCAATTAGTAATAGTATATTTGTTATATTTTAGGCTAAGTAACACGATGGCCAAAGGAACTGATCATGAGATGAGGAATCTTTCATCTCCAGCCTCACAATCCCTCAATGATGAAAGTAAGTGGTATGTCCCTGTATTTCCGTTGGTTTTATCTAATAGAACTTTTATACACCTAGCGTGATGTGCAGTAGTTTATATAAAAATATTTATATAACTCATTCAAGAAGCCTCATATAAATTATATATTGACTGGAGAAGAAAAAAAATCAAGCTACAGTTATTAAACAAGTGACTCATCATATAGATAAATGTATTTGAGAATTAGTTCCCATTTACTGTGTTCATAAAGGTTAGAGGTTTTTTTTTCTGTATTTATTTATAGTTGGTTTATACATCCCTGCATAGTGATTCTGGGCAGTAAATGCAGGATTAAAGCCAATCGAACAAAAGGAATAAATAACAACAATAGCAAACATAGACACAATTACAGCACAGGTGGCATCCAAAGGCAGTCAGAATCCAGGCCATGGTTATGTGAGAAAGCTGTAATTATGAGTTTACCCAACCTAAAGGATCCAACATCCAGGTTTTCAAAGTTTTACAAAATACTAATGTGGTTGAATATTACCACTATTAATCTCACATTTCTTTCTAGAAGGTATCACCCCATAGTATTTAATTTTCAAAACTACTGTTTAAGCAAATAAGTAAGCCCACTGGCTGTTTCTAAACCATAAAATTAACCAAAAAACCCTGCATGGGATATCAGCAATTTAATACTAAAATATGACCTTTTCCCTATTCCCTATTTAGTATTTTTATTTGGTACCTACTTGTATCTAAGTATAGTGCTATATGTCTTCTCATCCTGTGAGATAGGTGAACAATTATTGTGTTCTATATTTAATTTTAGTTGTTCCTCATACTTGTTAGGCAGGAGAAATGAAAGAATCCCAGTGATTTTATAATGAACTGGTACATTGTAAAAATTAATACATTAAAATCAGTCAGCACACTTCATTTTCTAAAAAGAAAGAGCAAACAGAAATCTTGCACTTAAAAGAGTCTTAGCAAAGAAGAATTCATCCATCAAATTACTATCTTAAAGTCCTTTGTATCCCAGATATATTTAGTTCAGTGTTATAATACATGTATTTACTTGTATTGAAGCATACTGAATTCTTATTCACTAACCAACTATACTTTACAGTTGCACCAAAGTAATGAATGTACAGAAATATTAAGGATGGACAGATTTTTGCATTTGTCTTTTAAACAGTATACATTTAGTTCTTTCAGAGGAGCTAAAATGAATAATGTTTGTGAACTAGTTTGAATTTATTTTCTTGGCTGCTGGAATGAAATTGAATGTGCACTTCATTTTCAAGGTAATAAAGCGGCTATTTCAGTATTCAAAAACTATAAGCTATTAGTATACTTACTGATAGGCTTAATCTTGTGATCGATACTTTCCTTTTCTCATGCCACCAAATGATTTTATATATTATTCCTGTTTTATGCAAATGTACCGTGTTTCTCATATAATAAGGCCGGGTCTTATTTTTTTTTTTGAGCCCTGAAAAAACGGCAAGGCTCTCTTTTCGGGGGTGACTTAATTCCCTTCCTTGCATCCTTGGGCGGGCGGTGACAGCTTGGATGTTGACCTCGGCGTTGGTGGGGCACTTCATATCGGGAGATCTTCCGCCACCATTGCTTTCCCTTCCTCCCATGCTGCCGCGGCATTTGGAGCATCACCACAGCATTTGGCGCAGCCACGCAGGGCTGGCCAGGGCTCCTCCCTGCAATCGAAGCCCGGCAGAGACACTCGGCTTCAGGCGCTCCTGTCGCCGCCACCTGAGCATCGTTCGAAGGCAAAGCCCATTCTTTTAAAAATGACTCCCTACTACAACAAAGCCTCCCCTGCCTGAGAGAGCAGCCCAACCCCACGTGGGGAGTCAAATCTCCTGGGGCCACAGCACGGCCCACCCGGGAGAAGCGCTCAGCCGCCATCCCTGTCTGGCGCGGGTAGAGTGTGAAGAGCTTCGCCTGGGGCACCCAGCGCAGCTGACAGGCAGGCCCTCCTACCTGCGGCGGAGCTCTAGACAAGGCAGCGAGCGCCTCCCTGCCGGGCCTTCCGTTCATCCCGTCAGGGCCATGCCTGAGCCGGGCAGGTTGGGCAGAGCCGGGAAAGCGAGCCGCAGGTGCGTGCCCGCCTGCCAAGGGAAAGAGCCAGGCCGATCCGAGGTTGGCTTCCCAAGTCCCTCCAGCCCGACCTCGAAGGGGCCACTGGGAGAGGCCGCCTGAGGCAGTGATGGCGCCCACCCGTCCACGGACAGGGAGGCGAGGCAATGGCCCGTGCCGTGTCCTCCGAGCTGAGCCCCACCGAGCGCCTCTGCCCATGCCGCTGCAGCATCCACCAACACCGAGGTCAACGCAGGCAGCACCATACCCGAGTATGCAGCAAAAGTAATTGGTGACAGTAAGGAGGTTGGTGGCGAGGCATGGCTGCCCGCAGGGTGCTCCTAACAGCAAGCCCCCTGCCCTTCCCCCCATTTTGCATGTTTTAAAATAGGCCCTAATTTGGAGGGAGGGGCTTAATTTCATTTTATGGCTATAAAACATGCTGGGACTTCGTATTGGGGGAGGCCGTATTGTTGGAGAAACACGGTAGTATTTCCTTCTCCATAATACTATTTAACTCCTTTAACCTGGACAAGTTCTTATAGTTTTCTTAGCAAGGTTTTTCACAAATGGCTTGCCATTGCTTCCTTCCTATGGCTGAGAAAAAGTGACTATCCCAAGGCCACCCAACTGGCTTCGTGGCAAAGAATTCATGGTCCCCTAGTTTCTAGCCAGATGTCTTCACCACTACACCAAATTGTATATATAAGTGCAAATGATATTTGTTATTCCATTTTAAGTGTGTTTTCTCTTCATTTTATTCTATAAACTGTTATTCTATAACAAAGATAGCAGGCTTTAACATTTTTTAAAATTTCCCTCACCTTTTTTCACTGTCCAACCCAAAGACATAGTGAAAATGGATAAAAATTAACCATGGTTATATTCTCTTTGCATGAAATTTGGCATTGTTCTTCAGAAATACCTTATTTTTCTGTCTTAGCAATCAGGCTAAACAGGGATGGGATCCGACTGGTATAACTACTGGTTCTGTTGTTCCGCGTTGCGCATGCATGCGCGAGTCACACGAGTGCAATTTACGACCTGCTGAGCTGCGTGCGGGTGCGCAGCAGTTGGAAAAGCCCTTTTTTCCTGCTTTTTCAACCGCAGTTGTGCCACGCAAAGCAGCTGTGGTTGAAAAAACAGGAAATAAAGGACAAGTAACTGGGCGGGTGGGCCAAAGCAGCAGCAGACACAACCTGTTCTGTGTCTGCTGCTCTTCAGAGCTACCGGTTCTGTAGGGCTGGACAGAACCGGTAGAATCCAACCCCTGAGGCTAAAAGTTTAAAACATATGTAAAGAAAGGTAACAAATTAAGATGTGATTCTTCTCCCTAAGTGGAAGGAAACTGCCACCTGCAACAGCTTAGTTACATTTAACAATTGAACACAGTAGGGATGTTAAGTAGATAGCACAAACTTATATTTTGCTGTTTAAAATTAACATTTCTTTATATCTGTATGAATACTCTATAAAAGTATAGGTTTGATGCATCATATTAAAAGTAAGGCAATGTGTTTTTTGTAGAAAATTTATTCCCCAATGGAACCACCCATTGGGGAATAAATTTTGGGTGGTAATTTGAAGCGCAATAAATGTGGGTGGTTCCATTGCCAAGAAAGCAGTTAAGGGTCACATTTTCAGAAGTATTAACTTTACCTAAAAAGAAATAAGAACACTTTTAAAACAGATGGTTGTTTATATACATCGGCATTTCCCTTAAACATTATTCTTAAAAAATAACAAGTATCCTCCAATTTGCAATCAGTTTCAGTTCCAAAATGACTAGCAATAAATGCAGATCTGTTTGTCCTAATAAAAATTTAATTGAGGCTTCTGCACTGAAGAGATTTAATCTCATGGCCTAAATTTATTATTTTAAATTTACAGTAAATTGTTTCCATCTATAATCTCTTCAAGAGTTAATTATGCTGTCATCAAACAAATGTAGCAAATGAAATGAAGAATCTCCAAGTAAAAGGTAATTATAAGGATATGTTAGTTACCAAAATTATTCAGTAACAATCACTCTTCAGAATGAAAATACCTTCTGTATAGCATTAAAACATCAACAGTATATAACATTTTCAAATAACTGTTTCAGCTGCTTTTTCCCCCTCCCACCTTTCACTATGGAAAAAATGATTTCTGCGTAAATATGGAGAGCATTCAGCCATACCCAATAGTTGTTCATTTGTCCAGGTTTGAATATTCTTAACGATACATGTTTAAGCAAGAACCTTTAAACATAATGCATTTCTGAAGGCTTCCTGTCTTATTTACATCTGGAAGGCAGTGATATTACACTAAGTCATGATGTCAGCATAAGACAGTTTAAAGCCGTATTTATTTTTCCTAAGATAAGTAAATAAAAGTACATAAAGTGTTTTGAATACACTTCTCTCTATAAGACTACAGATAGTCCTTGTTTTATGACTATTGCATAATAACCATTCAAAATTATGACACACCACCTAAAATCTACTTATGACCCCATTCCAAAGTTCTGATGGCTGCACGCATCACATTCCAGGTACTTGGCAGCTCACCTTTATGGATGATTGCAGCATTCCATGGTGATGTGAGTATGATTTAAAACATTTTTTTGCCAGTTTCCAGCCTTATTTGGCTGGTTTCCAATAAAAAATGCCCATAGGAATACATTGATTTGTATTTAACAACCACTTGTTAATGACTGCCCTATTCACTTGACCATGGTGTTTGACTGGAGCAAAAAAAAATAAGAAAATCAGGTTCAGTCTGTGGATGCCTTGATTTATGATGGATATTCTGGGTTCCACTAAAGTAATAAATGAAGGACTATCTGTATATTTTTTGCCAAAGAAAAGCAGTGAGAAGACTATTTTCTGAAATAAGGAAGGAGGAGCTCACCCCTTATTTGTTTGTATTAGGATGTAGTCGGATGTCTACAACTATTCAGGAATAGTATATAAATTTTAGTATGTAGTCTGAGTCTAAACTATTTAAAACCCCCAAATATCTAGTCTAATTGTTATATCACCCTATCCAACAGGAATTCTGGCTAACTTGAAAATCATTTTTACTACTACGTCTTTTGGATTTCATTATTTACCTTTGTCATGTAGGCATATTACTATTTTTAAAGTTCTAATCTATTAATCCATTATTTTCCATGAGATGGTGTTATTTATGCATTTTATAACACACAAAAATCACTACTCCCACTCAAAAAAGCGAGACTTCATGTTTAGGTAGCTGCAAGATCCTAAACTTTATTCATTCATTTAAAAATCATGCCATTTGAATAAAAACATCTATACCTAGGGTAGTAACAATATTCCTAACATTGCTTTTTGATTTCAGGTACCACAGGAAGTGAGGAACCCAGCAAATGCATACTTGCAGTCTCTGACAGTGAAGTTGATTCAGCAACATCACTTGCCTTAGAAATGAAATATGCATTGGATCCCAATCGGCAAATCAAGAAAAGAAACAAAGCTCTACAGGTGAGATTCAAAGACATCTGCGAAGCCCAGAATGAGCAAAGGGACAAACAACTTTCTTTGTTACAGCAGACTGACCAAAAGGAAGCAAAACCCATCTCTTACAGAGCAGCTTACCGAAAATACATGACAGTGCCTGCCCGAAGATCAATCCCTAATGTTACTAAAAGTACAGGAGTTCAGACTTCGCCTGAACTTAAAAAGTGTTACCAGACCTTCCCTTTGGACCGGAAAAAGGGAAATGTAATCAAAAGCATAGCTTCAGTTGATACTTTTCCAAGTCAAAACAATGGATTCCTAATTGATATTAAAGAGAAAGACAGCAAAATCTCAGGAGAGGCTGTTCAGTGCAGCAAGAAAGTTCCTGGATTTGTGACAGCTGAATTTATTTCACATACTAATGAACGCAGGAACGCAATAGAGCCGTTTTCTAAGGACAACTGTTTGGAGACATGTATAAGCACTGATTTGCACAGCTGTAGTAAAGAACCTCCTTCTGTACAGGATTCAGCAGCTTCAGTTTTAGAAGAGCCTGATTACCAGCTGCATGACAAAGCAAAACACCATACTGGGCCATTGAGGTACGAGGAAGCTAATCCAGCCAGCCAAGGAAAAGTGTTCAAAACAGAAGTAGCTTCTATCTACTTGCCCGCATCTGGTTCACACACATCACTGGCTGACCAGCAACATTCTGCAGCAACAGGGAATGACTGGTCCCTGTGTCCAGCCGAGGAGGAAGACAGAAAAAGAACTCTGCATCTTAATGGTCTGCTGTCACAAGCTGTGAGTACAGCTCAGGCCTGTCCCACACAGGCACAGTGCCAGTCTACCCAATGTAACGAACAGACCCTTCACATAAATGTTTCACCTATGGAAGGAAAACAGCCTTGTCAGACAGCAGTTGCTGTGAGTGAAAGATGTCAACAAATTGTGCCTCACACTGAAGTGGTAGATTTGAAAGCACAGCTACAGATGATGGAGAATCTGATCAGCTCCAGTCAGGAAACCATAAAGGTCTTGTTGGGTGTTATTCAGGAGTTGGAAAAGGGAGAAGCTCATAGAGAAGGGTAAGTTGATCTTTTTTAAATAATAATAATAATATATGCAAGAATCTCATTTGGGGAAAAAATCACTTGCATGAATTCTGTTGAACAATTTACATGTTTCTATTTACTCAGAAGGTGTTAGAAAACTATACTTTAGCATCTAACTTCACAGTAATGTATTAATGCTTTCCTTTCTATTTCATTGTGTCTCTAATGATCTTACAATATATGTGCTTTAGTACAAAGATACTCCTAAAAAACATGCTTCTGGTAACAACTGCTTTCAAAAATATTTAAATTAAAATATATTGCTTATATATATTTGTCATAAAATAAAGGGTCATATTAAAGCTAATAATATCTGCTATATGATTACCCAGAACTCTTTCATTAATTATTTAAAACCAGAATAGACTAGGAGGCAATAGAAAACATTGTTTACAATGCTGAAACTGCCCAAAAGAAAACCATTACTTCATAAAAATGAAGTATATTGCTCTGTGTTCTATAATTTTTTTTAAAGTATCGCTCGCAACATACTTAACAAGCACAGCTATTTACTCAGACTTGAGTAATTATGTCTTTATTTGATAATTGCAACTTCTGTTCTTTGGCATCTCACTTACACTCTTTTTACCCTTCTTAAAAAAAAACCCTTTTTACCCTTTTCTAAAAATATAATGCCTGTAATTGCTAGTTAATTCAGTTGCTGTAGTCAAACAAATGCAACTTTTTTAACTCCCAACTTCCTGTTTTGTGTAGCTCATGCTTCTCCTCACTTCAGTAAATGTTCCCTCTTTGATTCCTTTCATCATACCAAAGTTACTAATATGTGCCTTTTTCATTTGTGGCTTTAGAAGGTGCTTTCACCCAAAACATGCATTAGTGCATGTTGGTAATTGTTATATGCAATAATGTTTGCTTAACCAAACTGATTTATAGCACTTACTTAAATTTAAACTATATGTCACAAGGACAAGGTATACATTTCAAGTACATCAGAATGGTTTTCAATGTTTCTAGATTTAACTGATCATTTATTTTGTGCATGTTCTTTGACGTCTAATGGTCTAATTCAACCCTTTAATTCTGTGTATTGAAACACTGAGCATTTCATATTTGTATTTCCATTATATCATGGCATTAATGTTTTGTTGCCTCAGAAAGGCTGAATGTGGGATGACATAAAAGTATGGCACTGAAGAGGCCCTGTGTCTATTAAAGCAACAGACCTTAATGTTGACCTACTAGCAGAGATTGGCTGATTATAAGATTTAGATTGATTTCACGATTTAAATTATAAACGTGCAAAGTTTTGTGCATATTTTTTCAGGAAGTAGTCAGAAAACTACTTATGGCAACAGTACAACCCAGTTGGCATATATATAAATAAGGATTTAGGGCTTTCTATAGTATTCCTTCCTTTCTCTTTCTGATGGAAAATAAACATCAAAGTCTTAAAACTAACATGTCAAAAGGACCGAGATTCAGAATACACAGTTTAACATATAAAATGTAGCCTAACCAGACCTATTCTACTTCTTCTTAAAGAAGCTTGTAGTGAGAGAAGCATTATTTCTATTTCACATGCTAGTTTATTGGTTATTATTTCCAAACAATTTCTTTTCCATCAGACCCATTTAAAACTACCATTTAAAAGAAAGTTTTAGTACATCCCTGGGAAGGATGGAACTACATTCTTTGCCCCCATTGGGAGAAAAGGTGGCGATTGATCTTTATTCATAACTTACTGTAGAATATAAATTTGAGGAGAAATAACATTGAGATTCAGAATGCAGACTAGGGACCTAGAAACATAAGGACACTAGGACAGATAAACAGGAATACCAATGATTCATAACCACAAAGCATTATGTGTTGTCAAAAGGTAAATGTTTCCACTATTCATATAGCTATGACTAGACTAACCTAATGAATAAAGGCTTATAGTTTATAGAAAAGAACAAAGACCTACTTCCCTTGTTTAGATTTAAAAAGATATTCAAAAAGCAGCAAGACTTAAAAGTGATTACAGGCCCTCATATAGTTAGTTTTGTATATATTTCCTTATATCTCAAGTGAAGTGAACAAATTTATATATACAGAGAGAAAAAAAACAATAAATTGGTATAAATGTCATAGTTTTTAATTGACATAAAGTAGAAAAAATATTAAAATGACTGTTGAAATTAAAACATATAGGCTCTTTAAAAATATTGACACTTTACACTTATTTAAAAAGTTACATGAATATCTCATCTGATATATATAGTATTATGCATCTATCTCAGCAAGGAAACATTCATTACTTACTTTCTCTGATGAGAAGCATCTTATTTACAGGTTGCTGGAAAACCAGATTCTGGTAGATGCTTGTGAAACACTAGAGTATGAGTGGGCAAATATTCTAATTTAATAGCCTCTATATTTGACATGATCTAAAATATTGTAAACTGTTGTAAACTCAATAGATGAGTTATATATTGCAGATGTAAATGTGGCCATATAGTTCAAATAAATTAAACTATATATACTTTAGCTTAGAAGCTTCTATTTTAACCTATTCCTGATTATCATAAACTTTGATTTTAAATTGAATTGCTTTGCCTGTAGAAGATGACCAACCACTAAAATGACTTTAATAAAATTTTGTATTTTCCTTTCCAGAATATATAGCCACAGCCTTCTCTTTAACACATTTTATATCCCTATCCCTAAAACATTAGAAGAAGAAATAGCAGGCAGCTAATGGCTTATGGTTTAACTCATTTCATTCTTTTGCTTAAATAAACAAAAATAAATTTCTTCAATGTTTTTTGTAATTATAGCATTTTTACACTAGAAGAAGAATCTATTGTGATTTTTTTTCAATTCAAAACTATTTCAGTACCCAGGTACTTTTGAAAGGATAAAAATTTTAGGAAAATCATGGAAAACAGTAAATTGGCTGAGAACAGTATTAAACAAAATCTCTCTTCGAAAGTAAAAAGTCTTAGCATTTGTTCTTTTAAAAATACTTTTATTAATACATGATTTGTTACAAATACAGGTTCTATTTCTAATGAACAAAATTAAAAGATTTAAATATTGTGCAATGCAACAGAGAAAAATAAAATTCCTGTTACTAAACACAGTCATAACAAAGCCTGCATAGGCTTGTGAAAGGATTATTTAGTAACAGCAATTTATGTATTTATTGTATTTTAATCCTAACCTTTTTACTTAGCTCGCATTACCACTTCTAGATAATGTATGTGATCAGGATTCTAAATTCAACAGAATCCATTTAAAAAATAGAAAGTGAATTCAATATTTAGAAGGTCTGAAACTAACCTTAGTTTTAATTATTAGGGAATTAATAATAATATTATAAAAATGGTACTATATACCAGGGGACCACCAAACTCATAATTTTAGATCCCAGGGACCACTAACCGGTTCTGTCCGCATGGCCTAATTTGTGGGTGTGGCTTGGTGGTCATGTGACTGGCTGGGCATGGCTTGTATGTAAATATTGTAAATATTTATATAAATATTTATTTTTTTTATTAAAAAAGAGCAACTTTTACCCAAAATCAGGCAAAGCAGGTAGACTGAGTTGCTCACAGAATCACAGATTCATTCAGAGGTCTATCTATCTGCCATTGGCTAGCTCAGTCTGTCACATAAAACTTGCTTGCAAGCAAACCCAGAAAATTAACTCACAACACACCATGCATGTAAATATTGATTTTTTTATATAAAAAAGAGCAACTTTTACCCAAAATCATGCAAAGCAGGCAGATTCAGTTGCTCACAGAATCATTCAGTGATCTATCTATCTGCCATTGGCTAGCTCAGTCTCTCAAATTTGCTTGCCGTGAGTCTGCATTGAATTTGCTTGCAAGCAGACCTTCAGTTCTAAGGGAGGTTCGGCTGTGCAGAGCCGAAGATCTAAACACTAGCTAGGAAGCAAGAAATCCAACCATTTCCTGCTTCCTAGCTAATCTAAATCTCCCAGCACAGCAGAATAGATGATGGTCACAAAAAGGAAAAATAGCAATTTAGCAGGCAAGTTTACCAGGTAAGGAGTGGGTGGGGAGGGTTCCCACAGACCATGCGGGCGGTGCAGCCTTGTGTTTCTGCATAGCCTGCTTTGTGGGGGTGCTCTGGGGGTAAGATTTCTCTGCGGCCCAGCAAAATTTTCTCATGGCCCACCAGCGGGCCGCTGCCCACTGGTTGGCAACCGCTGCTATATACCAAAGATAAGCAGTGCTGTACTTCTATAAATAGACAAGAAAAACAAAACGCAGCCAAATTTGTCTTCTCTTTTCATAGTACTCTAGACTATCTTCTTTCTCTTCGTAGTTTTCATGTTCACTCAAAATAAAATAAACAGTGAATAGTCTAGATCATCACTGATGCTGGATCCTGACTTGCTTTTTTTTCTCATGGGCCTGCCTATTTATTTATTTAAAAGGCTTATTTTTGCAGTCCTTAGAATGAATGCTGATAACTTGGTTGATTTCATTCACAATGCTGTTTCAATAGAATAAGGGTAAACAATCAGCTTGCACCTATGAGACTCCAGGAATATATGCTGAAATAATAATGTTTGTAGATAAGGAAGAAGGGGGGAGGGGTAATTCTAATAAATTTTCAAGTCTTACAGTTTCCTTATTAAGACTCTATATGGCTTGGTTCCTTTTTATTTTTAGAATTGTCTCTTCCAATACAATCAACTAATTCAATGAAATAGTCATGAGAGATAAAGGGTGCAGACCAGTAAGTTGTAATTATGGGATGCCTGAGCAAGGTTAGCTTGGTCCTTGATTGTATTTCAAAAGGCTTTGAAGACTATCTTCTTTTAAATACTAGTGATAAGAGTCAGTTTACCACCTTAATTTTGTTCTTTTACTGGCTTTGAATAATTATAATTTTATGCTCTGCTATTTGTATATCTCATCTATAATCTATAATTAATTAATATAATTAATTATAACATAATAAAATGTATATTATAGTCACAGGCTTTAAGGAAGCTCAAGAGGACAGTTTTAAATATTTTTTCTTTTAAATTTCAAGTTGATTTCATTGGTTAGTAAATCTATTGCTTAGTAAATAATAATTACAAAGTAATAATAATATATTAAATGTATATGTTCTACAACTCCCATGATTCTGGGATGTATATAATATATACTTTGGGCAATATATAGTATATAAGTGTATGCTGTAAATAAATATCAAACAACATCAAATGCAGTTTTTTCCTGTTTTTTTTTTTAATAAACTAAGCCTTGTGAAAGCAAACATATTTTTATTTATCTGTTGTGAACAGCAGGAATAAAATTGAAAGGGGAATGCACTTTTTTAAAAAAAGCTAACCATATGTATTATTCACAGTAACCAAGGCCTTGTTTTTTTGAAGTCCAGTCTATAGCTAGCAACTTGAGAGGAAGAGGAATGTTTTCTTCCATGTCGAGGAAAAACATCTTTTGAAGTGCTCCTTAATTCAGATGAATCCTAGATCTAAATGTATCATCATGTTTAATATATCAGTTAGTTTCTGTCAGAAAGTAAAGTCTCTTTTCAGGAAACTAAAGAAGCCATTTCTTTCAAACTTTCAAATTCTTTCCATATTTATTACACATATTATCTGATTAAATATTACATCTGTTTGATCTTGTTCCAGGGCAATAAACTCAATCTTTGATTTTTATTTTGAGTTGGAGAGGGTGCAGGTGACATAATTTAAAATTATTCTCTAATTCTACATCTTAAAACTCAGAAAAAATGTTCTCAACATAATTATGAAATTATAAGTACACTTAATTTTGCATTTTTCATTATATATTTTAAACTTTACACTTCTTACAAGAACAGCTATTAACTGAAACAATTAACTGATCAGCTTTTAACACTTTTGTCCCAATAAATATTTCTGTTCTACATAAATATGTACAGCAAAATATCTGTGAAAAATGTTACATAGGTCTACAGAAATCAGATTGCTACTTTTTGCTGTCTCATTTTCCCCTGCAAAATCCAGCTGGATTTTGAATCCTAATCCTACATAATTTTTTCACATGTATTTTTTCACAGATATTGTTCCAAGGGGAAAAACTTTATGTCGAAATCGGACCTTGACTATGTAATGAAAGCTTCTTCTCATTTGTTGAGACTTGACCCATTAAAGTAAGTCTTCTACTATAAGTGCTATTGGACTGTTATAAATAATAAACTATTTCATCCTAGTTCACGTATTAGAAATAATAAGTCCATTATGTATAAGAGAACTAGTAATATAAGACTGTCTTAAACAACTAAGGGAAAATATAAAACTGAATACAATTACTGTTAGAAAATCAAAGAAGTAAAGGGATTGCTGAATTTTGCACAAAATTCAGTACAATACACTAGTTATAATTCACTGGAAAATGACATTGTATATTGCTAAATTATACACTAGTTCCTTTTTGCACAACTTTACTGAACCAGGAAGAACCCAATTCGGATATTAAGGTGTAACATGCACACATTCAATAGTATACTTCGAGATATACAGCATGGACTGATTGTATTTCTCCATGTTTTCAGTTGATTGTGACAGCTAGGCTCAGGGATATGGGTAGCCTATCAAATCTCAGTAAATTGTTCCTTGTTTTTAGTGAGAATCTATCCTATAATACTGTTTGACTATCTGGATAGAGAGGGGGGAATTATTTGCTGAAAAATCCTGAAAGGCACATACCAAATATTGGATCCAAAATTCCAAAAGAAAAAAATGCTCTTCAAAAAAATAAAAACTGGAAGATGAAAGCTACAAGCTGATGGATGTTTAATAAATATTTATTATACGTCAATAAGAAATAGTGAGTGGAGGTTACATTGTGTTTATTTTTTTCTCCTTCCTTTGCTTTCACTCATTTTTACATTTAATGACATAAAGATACATATACAGAAAATGCTTTTTAACATACTAAAGTCAAGACCTCTTTTCCACAAAGTAGCCTGGCTATAATTCTGTAGATGTGTTTTAATAATTTTTTCATGAATGTAGATATTTTAAAGTTTCTTAGAACTTGCAACAATTCACCATTCTAGACTGTAAATAGTGCAAGTATATTTTGACATATTGTTGTCAAGATATAACTACCACACAAGTTCATTTTCTGTTGACTTTTGCCTCCAATGGCCACTTGTTTGACTCTTCTTTCAGTTATGCTCTCCCTTTTATTTTTATCATGAACCTTTGTCTTAGGAGTTATTTCTCATGGGAAAAAGCAGAACTTTAAAAAAATGCTATTGTTTCAAAACAGATCTTCCCAGAAAACATTTATTATCCTTGTACTATAGAAAATATTATCAAATGTTTTAGAGGCTTTAATGAACTAGTTAGCACATGTCTCAGAATATTTAAACCAAGAAATCATTCAGTTCTGTATATCCGTCTGAAAATCTGAGTATTGGCTTGCCTAACTTAAGCTAACTACCTCATTACACCCCCATTATCTTTTCTAAGAACTACACCCATATCATTGTAGTTAAACATGCAAATATTTTAATTAATTGCTGATAGATGCTACATGAGCACATGTGTGCCCTAAAACACCTTCTTTCCTTCAAAGTTCATGTTTGTTCAAGCCAAATCTATATCATATGTTTACTGTGAGACAAAAATGATCTCCTTGACAGGATACAAGTGTAATCAATATACCATATTCTCATAAATAGATCTGACAACAAATACTGCTAGCAGGAATGCAAGATAGAAATTTGTTCCATGAAATTAATGAAGTAGTTTGGAACTACAATTCAGGTTCCGTAAACTTGCCATCTTGACCTATATTTTACTTATTATTGTTTCAAATGAAAACTTACTTTATACATTCCAGATCTGATTAATTTTTATGGTCCAGGGTTTTCTTAGCAATGATTTTCAAAATTTGAGAATCTCTACTTTGTTTCTATAATTCTTTCTCAGTGTCCAGCTTTCATAGCTGTACATTAGCATTAGAAAGCTTTGAATATTTTGATCTTTATCTTTTTCGTCATGCTCTTATTTAACCCCTCCTCCCTAGAATTAATTTCCTCTTTAATTCTCCCACACAAAGTTCATCTTTACTCATGAGGCCAAGAAAACAGTTTTACCATCTTCTTTGCCATTACTTTTGTCTTAACATTTAACATTAACCTCTATTTGTACTTTGATTATGACCTCTTCTAAGTTACTTTCAGCTAATGAAATGGTGTTACCTACAAATTTTAAATAGTTAATATTGCAGCCTCTAATTTTGACTCTGTCTACTATTTCTACTAATCTTTCCACTCCTAAAAGTTTATTTATTGTAATAATTTAACACAGATGTACCTTGGTACTCAACTGCTTTGAAATTCATTGAATTTGATACTCAACACATTTTGATGTGAAAATTTTGTCCAGGTACTCACTGTTTGGTAGTTAACATGCAAGCTAGAACTTGTTGATGTCAGCTGCCTTTGACTCACTACATTATTCCTTATGAGAAAAATTTGTTTGGTACTCATCTTTTTAGGTATTCATTGCACCTTCCAGAACCGATTAATGATGAGTACCCAGGTACCACTGTATATAGTATAAATTTGGGGCAATGTATATTTGGTTTCACCTTTACACTTTCTCTATCTCAATACTTTCCTCCTCCCAAATTGGTTCTTACAGTTACAATGCAGCTCTAAGAATTTTTAAATTCCAAATAAGTAAATATCATGTTTATTATAGGCAATCTAGAAATATATATATAGTATGTGCACCCGCGTACACAGAATCATTGGATAATTTAATAGACAATATATGATGTCCTGGAATAATGTTGTCAAATATTTATCCAGTGTTTGAAATATCCCAGGAAATACATTGATTCTGCTGGACATTAATAGGATTTCAGATTTTACATGAATTCTAACAGTGCATTCTGATTTCAGCTGAGCATGAATAGGATTTTCAACTCCTATTCTCAGGATGAAAGAGAGAATAGCCCTGTTACTAAACTGGTTATTTTATCAAGAGACAACCTATTGTTGATTAGTGTCCCAATATACTCATCCAATTTCTTGCTCATCTTTATCTATATACTACCGTGTTTCTCATATAATAAGGCCGGGGTCTTTTTTTTTTTTTTTGAGCCCCAAAAAAATGGCTAGGCCCTCTTTTCAGGGGTGACTTAATTCCCCCCCCCCCTTGCATCTTCAGGCAGGTGGGCGGCAACAGCTTGGATGTTGACCTCGGAGTTGGTGGGGCACTTCGTATCGGGGTCAACGCAGGCAGCACCATATCCGGGTGTGCAACAAAAGTACTTCCTAATAGCAAGCCCCCCCACTATTCCCCCCATTTCGCATGTTTTAATATAGGCCTTAATTTGGGGGGAGGGGCTTAATTTCATTTCATGCCTATAAAACATGCTGGGACTTCCGATTGGGGGAGGCCGTATTGTTGGAGAAACAGGGTCCTATGCATTGGCTACTTCTTCCGTATGTGTGTGTGCATATGAGAAATGTATAGTAGAGATTTGGCAGGGGATTTGCTCATACATCTCCTAACTTTTTAAAGAACAAGCTTTTAACTAAAATGTGAGGAGCTGGGGACACACAATAAAATGTGTGAGCTAAGGTTTAATGTATTGTTATTCTTACCCTATCTTGTTTTTAAATCTGATTGAGTAGTCTCCTCCCATTTATCAGTTGTCTAATTTACCCCATGGCATAACTCAGACTTAACATTCCATGGCACTACTGAAGATGCATATACCTCTCTTATATAATTTGATGTTTTTCCATAAGCATAATCTACTAGTTAGGAACTTGAAATTTTCATTTGGAATTGAAATGAATGTATATTTGTTCTTTATTTCTCTGGAAGTATAATCCAGTGAAGCATAAAACAGTGGCTATATGCTCTTAACAAGAAGTCTGTCCCCAATATTTCTCAAGGAAAAAAATATAATTTCCAAAATTTAGAGAAATTTGACATTGGCAATATGGTACAGTACTTTGAATCCAGAACAGTTTTTTTTTCCTTGAGTCATATAAAGTATGCTTAAATCTTGGTGAAAAAAATCCTGATTTTTAGTTTATATACAGTATCTTAGGCTATGTTGCCATTGTGAATTCTAATATCAGTAGAGATCTGTGGTATACCATAAATAACTGAACAGACCAGATATCTTTTAATTTCAGACTAAAGGTCACATGGGCCACTAGGTGGCGAAAATGAGCATAAACTAAAGAAATTACTACTGTAATGAGAATTCACTGAACTTCTCTTAAATGAGACACTGCAAAACTATTGTAGGTTTTATTCTTAATCATTTGGAATACTGATTAATTATTGGGATATGGAAACAGACTACATTTGTTTAGAGAGTACACTTAGCCAAAAGTCAGTTTTCTATTGCCTTTTGTTTGGAAGAAGTAATCATTGAGCCAAAAATAGAAATAGAAACCACTGTGTAATTAATGCTGAAAGTAGCTTGGTCAGAAATGAACATTAGTGTAAACATTTTCTATCATATAGTTCAAATATTTGGTATCTAAAATTATTAGAACTTACAGGTAGTCCTCGGCTTTCAACCATTCATTTAGTAACCAACAACAACAATGAAAAAGTGACTTATGACAGGTTTTCACACTTACAACCATTGCACATCTCCATGGACACATGATCAAAATTCAGGTGCTTGGCAACCGATTCATATTTATGAAGGTTACAGTATCTCAGGTCATGTGATCACCTTTTGCGATCTTTGGATGAGAAAAGTCAATCGGGAAGCCACTTTTCAACCATGTTACTAATTTAACAACTGTGGCATGAAAGGTCATAAAATGGGACAAAACTCACTTAACAACTATCTCAGTGTTCTGACCTAAACCTGGTTCCAAGAGAGTAAACACAAAACAAAGGTAACAGCACCTTTTTCTGTTTCATTCACTAATCCTGTTTCTTCACAGATAATAGGCTGCTTCCAACTAATTAGCTCCAACAAGAAAGACAGCCTTTTGCAAGGCTGCCAAAAACAACAGATAAAGTTCCTAAACAATAAATCAAAGAGTCTCCAAACCACCAACTCAGATATTCTAACATCTACCAGGCTCGAGTATCACACTTCATTGTCTCCTGCAAAGAACTGCAGTTTCTCAGCTGGCTTTTATTTTCTCGG